CTTGAATTTTCGCGCAGCTATCTTGAAAACGCCAGAAAAAGTCGTCGTACAAACATGTCGAAGATGATCTCGTAGGATGGTTAAAGCAAATTCGTTCATCGAATTTTCCTGTTTCGTGACCGATGCTGAAACAGAACTCGATGGAAATTGCTGGGAACTTGGAGTAGAAACCAACTTCATTGCCAGTGATGGATAATCAGAGAGATACTGTACATTGCACTACTGTATTTACCTAATTGTAGTATTGTGGTTTTTTTCAACTTAGCTTTTTCAACTCGACACATTTCACTGAGGGCCTAATTTGGCAGAAGGCAGGCAAGGCACTTCTGCCAAATTAGGCCAGTAATAGGTTCTAAACGTGCCATTGTTTTATTAGTAGCGCGAATTACTATATTATTAACGTCATATTCAAGGGTTAATAATTAATTAATTTAAGAATAACATTACCTACTGCTCCGACATTAACAACATCACTGAGAATTACATAATGTTTGTATATGCGCATGAGATCTGTTCGGTGAAGTTCAGAATAAAGCAGTGTTTGTTGAGAAAAATATAATGTTTATTGCTGCATAATTTTATTGTAGTCCCCAAAATACAATGTAAGTAAGATATTCAAATGTAAAAATAAAAATACTTTAATTTTAAATATTACAATTTTATTTATATTTGTAATAATAGAAAATTTGTAAAGGGATCCGTAAGTATTATTTTGCCTAGTCACTGATTTCACTTCCTTTTAGGGTGTCGACTTATGCGGACTCGACTGTATTTTGTTTCTCTTTTGTTACTCACAGCGACTGTTCGTTGTCTTATTACTTTGTAATATTGTGAAAACGAAAATTTTATTGGATTGTATTTTTATTCGTGAACATTTTTCACGTCAACATGTTACTGTGTGAGCATTTTTTTATTGTGTAAATAACATTTACGCGTGTATAAAACAATGAGATTTTGGCTTATAATTTAAAAAATTAGAAATCTACCAATTTTCACTGTCGTCTGCATGTCTGACTGTCTTTCCTTCTTTAAAATCGAGAATGAAGTAATATAGTCGACGTCACATTAGTTCGCAGCGCCATTTTTTATTCACTTCTGTTCATTGGTCTCAGTCTGCGTGTTTGCTTCGTCGTGGAAGGATCTTGCTCGATAAAGGAAATCTCGAGGTATTATCAGAAAGTGATAGATTTTAGTGAAAAAAAAACATCCCGAAAAGGTTCACACTGGCCGTATTGCTGCTCGGACTAATGACATTTGCCTAAGTCATTTTAGAAACATTTTAAAAAGTAGGCAAATCCCAAGGTCTTAGATTTATAAGGTTGCCTCATACAGCCGATTTAGCCACTTCCTGCCAGATTCCGGATATACGTCATCCGTAGTCGAGCGCAAGGTCTAGCGACTGCTTCACTACTGTAAGCGAGGGAAGGAAATTTTGGAATTTAACTATTTTTTTTTAATTTGTCGAGCGTTTTTAGACTCATAATCTTCGAAGGTAAATATATCTATACTTATTGCTATTATTAAACATAATTATGTTGATAATTATATCGATAAAAATTGTTCGGAAGTAACAAAAGTGTTCCTAGAACAGTTTGATATTCTGTTGTAGTCTTTACTCTTCGTTCTGTAGAAATTACAGAATATGGTTACGGATAAAATATATTTATTAATAAAATACTTTAAAATACTAAGAATAGTTTTCTGCATGTATAAAAATAGTATCTGCTCAGTGAAATGACGACTACAAATAATAAGCTGGCCGGTAACAGNTATATTAATATCAATAATATCGTTTTCGGTACACGAGTATTAAAAATTGAAAAATAGACCAATATTATTTTTAGTTCAAAAAAAAATATATAACAGTTTGACGATAGAAATTAAATTAATTTACTTATATATAAATCACCTACGTAGGATTTACCAAAATTAATCGTTTTAAGAAACTATTGTTGTTATAAAATCATAAAATAGATAAAATAGATTTCATTTACAAAGTAGAAAAACTCATTTTAACTTCAACTTTACACGTAAAAATTACGAAGATTTGCTCAATATTCCGGATTTTTCTTATTTATAATCAATTTTTATTTTTATTTAATTAAGTAAGTATCGTAATTAATAAAATATTAGCGTGTAATTAAAGCTACGAGCCTCTGATCGGTAACGTTTCTACCATAAGGACATAGTAAGATGTTTCGTTTTCGACTACGAGTGACGTCAAATAAGCAACCAATGAGAAGCGTTTCTTCTCTATGAGGCAACCTGATAATCTAAGACCTTGGGCAAATCCAAACTTCTTTGGATAGACATTTTACCAAGAGACCTCTATCCAGTGAACGTACGGTGGAAGTGAAAGAAAGAAAGCAAAAAGCAGTGAATAAAATTTAAATAAATAAATAAATAAATATATATATAAAACAACACTAATTTTCTTTATCTTTTGTAACTTATTTTTAAGTTATTGTTACATTATGTTATGTAAGTTAAGTTTTAGTATCATTTCTCTTCTCCCTGTCTTCCGCCACCAGTTTACACCTCATCGTAGTCTACCCTCAAAGGTAAAGTGCAAATAAAACTACATTTTTTATGAATTACTAGCTTACCCGTCGCGCATTGCTGCGATCTCAGAAGAAAGGAAATTCAAGCAAACTCGTTATGATAAAATTCAATTTACATTTTATTATTTTTATTGAAACTCATTATTCATTTTCATTGGGAAAACATTTCAAAGTGTCGTTTCAATTCTATTTATTTATTGGAGTGTTTGTGGATACACGATATTTTTTGTTTTTCCCTCTGGTGTGTACACGAATAAATCGAAAGATTTTTCGACGCGTGAGCCGGCCACATACAGTTGTCCATGCGAGAAGCACGGATTCCCCAAATTTAGCCCACACACTCGCTGCGATTGTCAGAAGTGCGATATTCCCCATTTTATATATATTTTTAAATCCTTTATAATTTTCATTATTTAATTGTTCCTTCCTTTCTTCCTTGGCATGTTGTGAAATTTCTGATAGTTGGATAATAAACCATTTTATTGTAATTTGTCTTTTTAAATTATTTTGAGTCGATATTAAAATTTGGAAAAGGGTAACTAGATCGGTAAAATACGCGAATTTCTTCCTACAACTTCGGTTGTTGTTCCGGGTACAGTTAAGGTTTTAACGAAGCTCCAGCGAATACATAATTAGCAAAAAAAGTTGAAATAAAATAATTAAACAAAAATTATTACAACTTCGGTTGTTGTTCCGGGTACAGTTAAGGTTTTAACGAAGCTCCAGCGAATACATAATTAGCAAAAATAGTTGAAATAAAATAATTAAACAAAAATTATTACAAATATCATAAATAACAGTTCGCAAATGCATATATAGAGATATTTTTTGGAGGGGGGAAATGGTCTTCACAATTTGAAATCGATCGAACTCACGATGCTCGTATTCACTCGCGCCATCTATCGTAGGATAAATGTACTAATCCAGAAACCTTTGCGGCAGTGTATTAAAAAACTTCCCAAAGTTTGATGGCAATCATACTATGCGAGAAACCTTCGCGGGAGTATATTAAACAACTTCCCAAAGTTTCATGGCAATCGGATACACGGTGTGGTAATGCATGAAGGACAGACAGACATTCATTTTTATATATATACTGTGTTTCCCCGAAAATAAGACATCCGCAGAAAATAAGACCTAGCACAGATTTTGCTGAGTTCCGNACACATTAATTTTTATATATATAGATTATTCTGTTATGGTTATTTATACATTTACAACTAACAAACGCATTTTTCAGTGTTTTCCTTACTATAGTTATTTGTTTTTAATGTAATACTTAGTTTGAGAGTGTTTTTCGTGTTGGAACGAATTATTTGGTTTTACATGTAATCGTATGGGGAAAAATGATTCAACTTACGATATTTTCATGATACGATCTCAGTTTCGAAACGGATTAATTTCGTATCCTGAGGTACCACTGGTATTACGAAATAAAAAAAAAAAAGTCACTTTTAAAGTTTGTGAGTTCAAATCTGCAAACCGATTTTTCCCATAAATTGAAGAAAATGGGATAATTTTCGACCTCACAACGTAAGGCAGTTAATAACTATAATAGAACATACAACGATATTATAATAAAAAACCTTTATTAATTAAACAATCTTGCTCTGTGTTCAACTATAATCAGTTGATACAAAGAACTAAAATATACTATAAAACTGGTGATTATATGAATACATATTTCTTGATTAAATCTCTTGTTGTTTTGAAAAAGAACAAAATGAAAATAAAAAAAATGTGAAAAAGAACAAAACCATTCTGCTAAAAGTAAATTAGTTTATATAAACCAATTAATATGTTTATTTGCTCATGCTCAAACCCTTCATTCCATGTTATAAAATATATGCTTTTTTCTTGCTTTGTTTATATTAATACAACACCAAATGATAGAAAATACGACAGGCACTAAGAGTAAAGCATGAAACGCAGTTTGCACCGCAATTATAACAAGTATTTTAACAAATGCTTTACTCAGAAACACAGTTTTGTGTAAAACTATCAACACACCTATTCCGGTTGAGAATGCGCCCTGAAATATCGGAAAACCCACATTATATAAACTATGCTGCAATTTACCTTTTATGGTTTTATCTGACGAAGTGAGAAAAGAATAACATATGTGAGTCGGATAATTAACACAAAACCCCATACAGATTACAAAGGAGGACATAGAGGCGATGTCCAAGTCGACACTCCACAACGACATATAACCCAGGGTTTGTATCGTAATAGACGAAATGCACAGAGCAACGACAACCGAATACAAAATATTTGGATTAAAGAAAAGAAAAATTACAAGATTTATTAACGACGTCATCCAAAAAAATTGAAAGACCATTTCTCTAATAACGATACTTTGCTCGACGAATGTCGATATCAGGGTGTGTGTAAAAACATTAAAAGGAAATTCCTCCGCCATCTTTTGTATATCTTTGATTAATTTGGACTCCGTGGTTCTATTCGAAACATTTCTTGCTAAAAGAAAGAAACGACTGCAAATAATATCGGTATAATTATGATTAAATACGATATCATTCTGGTAATGTTTGGCTCCTGGAAATTTCAGAAACACCTGCCGTAAAGCATCGATGAAATCTTGTTTCGTGGATAAATCGTATCCCATAAAAGAATATTTCGCTGCTGAATGCTGTTGAAAATCTTCGTAATATTTCAACCAAGAAATATCCATATCTGCCACGTTTGGATGAGACTGAAACTTCTTAATCATGTCCTCCACTGATTTCTGAACGACTTCGTTTGAATAATCCAAAGTTTCGTTAATCACTATGTGAATAGTAAACGGATATTCAGTAAAATATTTATAATATACTCTAAATGCTCGGGTGATTTCAGAATTTTCGGGATAAAAACCGAATACATTAAGACCTTCGTTCAAAGAAATTATTCCCCATATACTAAATGCTAAACTAACGATATAGACAAGTAATATAATAATTTTGCTTGAAGAATAAAGAAGAAACGGCGCAACTTTGTCTTTGAAGACCTTCATGAAAATATCTTCTTGCATCGCTTCTGCATAATTATAAGTTATGCTGCATTCTGAAAAATATTAAATACACAATTAGACTATTGCATTTATTACGCGAAATGAAAGAAACTTAAATTTGACGAAACTAAAAAGTTTAAAAATTTCTTATAAAAATGAAAAATTCCAAACTGTTAAATTACTGTCAGTTTCATTACCATATTAATATTTTTAAGTTTAATGTTTAGTATATCACGTGCACTAAATATGAATACAATAAAGCAAAGATGGGCAACTCCTGGCTGTGGCTCGCAAGTGAACCTTGTCGCGTGTATTTTGTCAGATTTGCAGGCTTTAAACAGATTAAATATAAAAAAAACTCCATAATATAAGGTACTATACGCTAATGAAACGCACTGTAGTAAGTTGAGTTAATTTTCTTGTTTACATTGGCCATGAAATAAGATTAAATGTTTTTTGTCGTGAATATCGGTGTAATCAGAATTTCATAATAGCTTCAGACAGAATTGAAAAAAAATAAAGTCACTAAGTCACACTTATTAGGATTTTACTTAACGCGAGTTGTTCATGGCGACAATAAAGCATGATGAAATATAATGTAATTGAAAAAAAATGACATGGGAAGTTGGCGCATTACTGAAGAGAGATACGTCTTCCAAATCGATTTTGATGTTATATAAGTACGAATTTTAGCCATGACGGTTTAAGTAAACAGTATCAGTTAAACAGTTCCTGCGCCTCAAAGAAACTTCATAACTAGCGCTCTCGTTGATTCGAATTCAAGGCACCTAAAAAATGTGAAAAAGAACAAAACCATTCTGCTAAAAGTAAATTAGTTTATATAAACCAATTAATATGTTTATTTGCTCATGCTCAAACCCTTCATTCCATGTTATAAAATATATGCTTTTTTCTTGCTTTGTTTATATTAATACAACACCAAATGATAGAAAATACGACAGGCACTAAGAGTAAAGCATGAAACGCAGTTTGCACTGCAATTATAACAAGTATTTTAACAAATGCTTTACTCAGAAACACAGTTTTGTGCAAAACTATCAACACACCTATTCCGGTTGAGAATGCGCCCTGAAATATCGGAAATCCCACATTATATAAACTGTGTTTCAATTTACCTTTTATGGTTTTATCTGACGAAGTGAGAAAAGAATAACATATGTGAGTCGAATAATTAACACAAAATCCCATAGAAATTACTAAGCAGAACATGGAAGCAATGTCCATGTCCACACCCCATATCGAAATTTTTCTCCGTGGCGTATCGCTTCGCGTTGAATTTTCGTCCATGTTAATCCTAACGAAGACTATTGCATCATTAAAAATTATGTTTTTATTTTGTACAAACAAAGAAAATATATTGAAAAATATAAAAACAATAAAAAATTATACTTTAGAAGTTAATTTAGTATCAAAAACTTAAACTATTTGAGTAGCCCAAGACATAGCCAAAGATTGCAGCGCCACAGCACTAGCGAAAATTTAAATTTGCACTGGAATCCTTTCGGATAATCGACGCTCTACTGTATATCAATTCGTTATTAATCCTTTTTTAATATATCAATGTAATAAAACGTACTTTTACAACACCTAGACTAAAGTTTTCATAGAGGAGTTACTATATTTTTGAAAACATTAATGTTTATTCTGCCTAATTATACGTTATTTCACATATAAAGTATTAACGATTTCAAGTATTCGATTTCATGTAGCATCCCAGGAGTGTTTATTAATTTTATGATCCTTATCAGAACTTACAGACACATTAAAGAAGTTTGATGTACAAGATGAAAATCCACTAATATTTTATAATGAAAATTGCTTCCATTTACTTTTTCACTTTTTCTCCGGTTGCTTTTAAGTCAGAAACATTATAACGTGTAAATGAAATAAATTTTTAAAATTATATAATAAACTTTTCTTCACCTGAAACAGATTTACAAGAAATGGGATTGAGGCCTTTCTCTTCTCTGTATCCACTCAAAGCCAGACAACCTCCGAAAAACGTCAGCTGAAAAAAATACGTAAAACAGATGCAGGTAGCAGCATAATAGCCGAATATTCTAATTCCTGGAAATGGGCAGTTCATTGCAATACAATAAGAACAAAAGTTGGTTAACGAAGTTATAGTTATGGACACTGCTGCATTCGAATACGTATCTTCCATCCGCTTTTCAACTGGATCGCGAGTATCAGTTGTTCTCCAACACGCGATCACTACGAAAGAATCGTCCACTTCTGTCACTGAAAAACAATTTCAAAATATTAGCCAGAAAAAAAACGTACACATTATATAACATATTATATAACCTACCCAGAATTGCAAATGGGAGAGCAACGTTATAATATGTGCTTTCTACACCACACGCAAATAGTAATCCAAACGAGGCAGCTACAGCCATTCCGGCTGACATGACACTGGCTACACCCATCCACGGTTTGCTTCTAATCCAACTATTAGTCATGTTACTCAGCATGCTGAAGAGACATACCACGATTATGGTGACGCTTATAAATGGTATTATCTCCTGCAAATCCAACATAACATTAACATCAGTCGAAGCGAATGGCTCGAAAAAAGTGTCAATATACTTGAAATTGCATTTTTTTATTCTTCTATAAAGTGCTTTACTCCAAGCTTTAGTCCACTCCGCTTTACTTGTGTTAGTATCATCCAATGGATATGATAAACGCATGGCGTATACTTCTTCTATATAATCGTTTTCGTCAACGATCACACCTCCTAAATTGAATAACATTATCTTATATGAAAACGTTAAAGGATCGATATCTATGGGATACTTGAATTTCCGTCTCTTTGAAACCACATCATCCGTATGGTTTAACAAAGTAGAAATAGGATTTTCGAAACATTTTCCGTAGACCCGTCCACAAACGTCGTCGTAACTAATTTGTCTTTTATCAACATGCGCAGTGACGTTATTTGCTATTTCGCTTAACATTTGAACTTCCAGTAAAATATTTTTCTGTAACATGTTTTCATCTTTTTTGTGTTTTATGTAGATCATAGGTACGACTGGACGATGAGTTATCCTTTGTAAATCGTAAAATTCCGAAGTGTTCATTGGAAAAGTTTTGTCTATGAATTGTCGAATTTCAAAAATATTTCCTCTGTCAGCACATAACAAGTAATCGTTATCATCAATATATTTCATGTTGAACAATCCAACAGACAGTAAAGCACTGAAAATGGACGGCACAAAGATGAAGTAATACGGGTGGTGTGCGATGTTTCTTCCAAGTTTGCCGAAGCACTTGCGTAGACTTTCACTTAAGCATGAAAACTTTAAGTTTCTCTCCATCTTTTAACGTTGTGCTAAAAATAAAATAATTTTTTAACAATTTATTAAATTAGAAGTTTATTTAAAATTATAAATTAGAATAAATTATGCTATTCGAAAATACTTTCAATCTACTTTTATACGAGTTTGATTCAGAGTCTGGAAAATATTGAATTCTCTTTTTACATATTGCAGAAAATTTGTTGTTCCAAAATTTTGCATTTGATTGTAATTCAAAGCAGAAATATTTATACAATAGTTTAGAGAAATTCCTAAACTGCACTTCAATAAAGAATGCCATAATTATGTTTGCTATTTATTGTTTCCAAAACAGTTTTAAATAAGCACAAAAATACAATTACTTACTGACTGCTAAGAATTGTCTGATTATTAGAATTGCACATAGATTTTATCATTGAATGGATATTTCTGTAGACGGCATCGAACTGTTTTTCGCAGCAGGCAGTGCGGAATGCTACATCCTATCGAATTGTTGCTTCCTACTCTTATTACTATGGTATTTCGAAAGACTTCTCGCAGGCTACAGAATGCCTTACGACATCTAACGGCTCGGTCTAAAATCATGACACTAAGCCACTGTCTATTCTTTACTGCGATATGCAGGGTTATCGACCATCATCAGATTCAATTCTGTGAAGTCAGGTCTTGCAAAATCATTGTAAAAAATGTAATTTTCCAGCATATTCGCAAAAAGTTTTGCATTTATGTCAAATGCAGACATAAAGGTCCTTCGAACTTGCATATAATGCTACATATTGTATTTCCGATATCACACCGTTCTGTGATGCCGAAACGTTGTACTGTACCTCACTCGATCTCGTCATCCAGCTGTTCACGCGAATTCTGAGGACGCTATTTACAGTCAGGAACAAAATTTTGAGGCTATAAACATTTGATATTAAGTCATAAAGAAAACAAAAACGAAACATTCTTATGATAGACCATTGCATTTAAATTACCTACAAGGAATCATTTTACGAAAATTTCTGAAATTTTCTGATTGGATCGCAACAGATTATTACTAAGAAATATATTTCACTTACATTATTGTGTGATATTACATTTTATGTTTCTCATAAAATGTTCAGTGCGATATTCTCCACATAACATGGTAGTTAAGTATTGAAATAAGTGTCGTGTTATGCAAATCCGTTCTATGCGAAAAACAAATGAATAGTACAAAACTCAGCGTAGCTTCAAATAGTTAGCAAAAGTGTGTTATTTTTTATGTAATTAAGATATACACGTTTATTAAAGCAATTGTAGTAATATCAGAATTTATTCCCTCGATTCATGACTTAAAACAGTCCGAGTTCAACTAATCGATGGAGATAAGTTTAATAAAAAGTTTATTAGAATGACAAATAAATTAAAAGAAAACGGCAAGAAAAGCGGAAAAAATTCAGCAACGACTTGAGTAATTTCCCAGCTGTTAGAAGATTTCATTTTAAAAAATAACTCTTATTAATATGCATAATAAATTTAATTGTGTATGTGGTGCCATGTGTTATCAACTTTTGTTACAAAAATTACTTATGTTTGAATTACTATAGAATGACATAAAAGAAGAATTAACTGATAAATGCACGAACGGAGTGCAGAAGAGGTTATGGCTGGAAGTATGCAAGAATTCTGAACAAAAAGAAACTATCGCTGTATCGATTAGGTTGACAATTTGGTCAACCTAACGATACATCATGATTAGGAGACGAGCGGGATACTGAAGAGTTACTGCAGGTTTTGGTGAGAGCATTATCAACGACCTTTGAAAATTTTCAGAACCAGGAATTTATATGGAACTGGAGAATAGTGATTTTAAAAACGAAAAACCCATAGAACTTGCGACAGATTACCTTAGTAAAAGCTTGATAACGATAACCGAAATCGTTGATAAAATTGTAGCGAATGATCCAGATTTTAAAAGCTGTGCAAAAACGAAACGAGGCGTTTTGGATACGATCTACTGCTATGCACATTTGCTTAAGGAAAGAAAAAAAAGCGACAAATGAAACTACACGACTTCATCGCAAAAATACAAGAATTTCAGAAAATCCAAGACCTTCCTCACAAAAAATAAACTTTACATTACTTTGTGCATATGTTTATGTCGTCGAGGAACTCATCACCCGCTTTAAGCAGTATATGACTGTATACAATATTTTAAATGTTTTCTTAAAAATTAGTTTACCACGTATATCAAAGAAGTTAATTCTGACAAAATATATTTCAGTAATTCTACATAGAAGCGACATTTGCGGAAACGAAAGACAGCTGTTGAACAAATGTTCTGTTGAATCAACGGATACGGAGTTTACAAGGAAATACACACACATTTAGTAAAGAAATCATGGACTGGCTATACAAGAGAAAAAATGATAAGAAATTACAACAATTATTCAAATACTCAACGTTAAGTGAAAAACGGTAGTGGGAAAGTCAGTGAATAGCAGATAAGACAACTCTAAAAATACCAAAATTATTAAGTAATATATTGAAATTATGACTAGAATACAATAAGCCATTTAATGACAAACCAATTAATGTACTATCCGAAATTGAATCAAATTAAAATAAAACAAGATGGTAAAATAGTATAAAACACCAAATAAAAGCAGATATTGAAAAATTAGACAAAAGGTGAGATGATAATAATTGGTAAATAATGAAAAAGTAATCTAAAAATTGTATAACATTAAAAACATATTTAAAGAAAAATAACGTAACTTTAATTAAAGCAGATAAGACAGATCAAGTTTTCATTGTCACAAAAAAATGATAGGATAAGAAAAAATCGGAACTTGTGCTAACAAATGGATCTATAGAACTGACAGAAAACCCAATAGAAAAAACTTTTCAAAGTGCGGGAGACGTCGACATCGACGCTCAACCCGGTATTTACTGATCGGATAGCATTCCTCCAAACTGAAACTCTTCCTTGTAATTCAAGCCTTTTATTTTTCTGACAAAAACAATTTTTATAGTATTCACGAGACTGTCGGGTAGGCACTCGTTAATTTAAGTTTTGCGTCGGTTTTTATTTTCGAAAGGTAAGAGTATAATATCAGAGGTAGAGAGTGGGCAGATGTCTGATGTCTGTTGTTGCCGGGCAGTATGACTCGAACAGATCTACAGTAAGCCGCAGTTAAATCTTATCTAAGATAGACACTCTATTATCAAGAAGACTCGAGCAGCTGAAAGAGTAACAAAAATTTCATATGAGAAATAAAGAACACTGAAGAGCTCATAATGGAACCTGAAACTGATCTGACGACAGAAGAACGCCAAGAACTCTGGAATGAAGAACACCAAGTGACTCGGCGAGATATGGTTTCTTCTGGAAACGAGGATTAATGTCGATATCTGGTATTAAACATTTTTTTGAAGAAGTGGGATGATGTCAGAACGACGGTCTTAGAATGACATCCAAACCAGGTTGAGGTTATTAGATTTACGGATATCTACAATTACAATGCTATTAATTACTTCTGAAAAACTACGAAGAAGAGAGAAAAGCAATCGACATTGAACAGATTCTTTAATCCCCACAAACAGAAAACATGACTAATAAAAATACAAGACTGCATATACAGTATATGTATTTATATAAATAAACGTAATAAATAAATAATATAAAAAAAACATCCGAAAAATGAAATAGTATATATATTTTTTATTTTTTCGAGTCTCCGAAACGAATAAATCAAATTCCTATAAAAATCTATGGTAAATCGAAAATCGATTAACGAACAAAATCTTGGAACATATTATGTTCGTTAACCGACCACCCACTGTAAACACAAAAGATACTGTATTATTGACAGTAAAAAAATGAAATTCACAGAACAAAAAATAGTTATCACAACAAAAAATAAATTCAATGTAATTTTTGACAATTTTGCGGATGAAAATTGTAACGTTTCGTAGGTGAATTGTACGATTGTGATACTGTGTTAGAGCGTAAACGTGTTTAGAAATGCCACGCTGTGGATGACTGTATATGAGTGTAATTTTTTTTCCAAATATTTAGAAGTGTCTCTTTCGAGAGGCGATGATCGTTTTCATATATGTTGGAAAATATGCAGCTAGACAATGTCTGCAGAAATTAATGCGTCATGTTTTCGCAACGCTTATAATGGAGCAGTAATTCTGTTCAGAAGATTCCTGTTTATTGTAACAGCAATACAAGAAAAACGAGAAAAATACCGCAAATAACAAAATAAAATCTTACCTTTTATACTATTTTATCAATTTATGTGTTATTTCGAATAGATGAAGGACGTCGTATTTCTTCTGCGCTAAATGTCGACTTTTACTGCTATGTTTAACTTGTATTCGAACGGTTCGTAAAACTAAATGAAAGGTTTTTAAGTGACATGCCTGTTAAAAGTTCGAATTCTACTTAATTGCATAATTTAAATTCCTCGTATAAATAAAGTATTGGTAGAGTTTGAGTTAATAATTACGTTTAATATTTATTCTCACGAAAGTACTAAGACATTCACTGATAGACCTTCTTTTCCTTTGTTAGAAATTAAACATCTATAAGGAAATAAAGTGAAATTTTATATGTAAATTTATATAAAATTAATGATTATATGAGATAAGATATACTCCAATTTGGTATCTAGATTAATATATAATAATTATGTCTACGCTATAAGTATCATACATAAAATTTTCGATTAAATTTTCTAAACAAGAAACAAATATTAACAGCATATGCAGCTTTGAAAGACTTTTTCTACTATGATGTGCCTGGTCATCCACACAGAAACCATTACAACACCTCTATCTATACAGATGATATTCGAAGCCCGTCGGCACTATATGCCAATAAATAAGATTAAGAGAGAGGAGTATGGGCATCATACTCCTCTCTTAGTGATACAGTGTAGCGACGTAGTAACAGAATAACGTCGCCATATAGTGTTTATATAATTTTTCAACATCAACGCCGTGATTGTTCAAGTTTCGAGCCGATTTTCTGTTAGGCGAGCGCAATGCTTACTTTGTA